TGTTATCTACCACTTAACGTACATTGAGACCGTCCGATTGAATTCAAATGGAAGATGAAACTAAGAACCGATATAAACTTGACACTGCTGTTCTGGTTTGTTTTATGCAATTAACAAGGTTGTGTTACAAAAGAATAAACTATTACGAGAATTGGAAAGTATAACCGAATCTTCATATTTCGATGCAATCATCATCAACATCCTCTATTTCATCATTCCAGTCTAGTTGAAAAGAGTTTGCCGATCTCATCAACTCTGTTAGTCCAGTAAGATCCTCAAGATAGGTAGGATGGTTAATCGCTTGGAGTATGAATTGCATCCCTCTCTTGCGATACTCCGACACAACCTGAAAGGATTATTCATGATGATCAGAAGGGTAAGAAACCTCATGCGATTTATTTAGAAATTTCAGCTAAATATCAGAAGCTGAAACAAAATATAACCAATCATGCTTGAAAATTTAATCTTCTTAATAAAATAAAATTTGAAATTTATTCTCAAAGATTCTTCAATGAGAATTCGTCCAATATGATATATTCTGTTTATGAGGGTAAACCAGCAATAATTAAGTAGGCATCTGACTTTTATTATACCTACTGGGAATGAAATTGTCTAAAGGGCTCCGAAGTTACACAAGGACAAACAATTTATCAATATAAGAATCGCTCAATATCAACTAAAAGAAGGCCCATGCAAACTCCTACAAGGCAGTATTGCTAAAAGAATCATACAGAAACAAACCCCACATAGACAAGAAACCTTAAAAGGATGAATAAGAAAACAGAAGATACAAAAGAAGAAAAAAACAAAGAACAAGACTAATAGTAGCAATGAACTTACAGTGCTGCAACATGCTGTGCAACTGTTAGACGCGTGGCCCACAAGGGTCATCTGCTGGAAGTGGGGTAGGGACCACGTATCTGATGGGGTAAAATACCCAGAGGAAGCTCAGAGTTTCCACCATTATTGGAGTTGGAAATCTCAGCTTCAGCAAATATCCTGCATATATAATTGGATGGTCTATGAACCAATCTGGACTTCCGCTTAGCTTTGATTAAAACAAAAGCTTGTTAAATCTCCCACGAAACTACAATGAAGAAGACTTTTCACATAGTTTCCAAGGATTTACCCATTAGGATGATGCAATATTCCCACTAAAAGCTCAACTGCAAGTGCAGAAGCAATAGGTGCAAGCCCTGGACGTGTAACAGTGCACTGTTGATCTAATGTGCGGTTTGAAGTTGACTGCACAAACCACCACAGTTATACAGCTAAGCTGGACATACATAAAACAGCTATAATACCAATTATTGCATTCTATAAACTCTGGTAAATTACATCTGTTGGGGCAACCACATCATTACAGAAGTAACAACCCAGTCTATGCCCTCTATCTGTATTTGTTAGGGCAAGGTTATCCACGCCAGCAGATAAAGAATTTGCCGTTTCAGCTTTCAAGCCAGGATTGGAGTTAAAAGGACCAGGTCCATGGCGCATAACCAAGAAGCTGTCAAACCCTAGAGCTGAATTAATGGCTATCTGCATAATGAGAAGCCAGTATCAAATGACTCAAGTCCGGTAAAAATCTTTAGGAATCCTAATCAATGATGCCAAAACAGAATGCCAAATATCAAAGCAATTCATATACGAATTAAGGAGATGAACCTTATTAGTGTTGGCACAGAGAAGCGTAGGGAGCCATCGACTCTCTCTAGTATCGGTCAACAAGAAAATTACATCATGAGAAGCAATCAAATCATTGAGTCGTCTACAATCTTCAAGCACACTTTTCTCTTCTTGGCTGGACACTGGATGTCCAGGCATAGGAATGGCCATAACAACACCTTCTACTTCCTAAGAAAGGTATAATAAGATAAATGGTGAGAGGAGATGGAAAGATTTTTCTGTTCTGTGTTGAGCTTTGTGTTATAGGCCTCAAATAAAATAAATTACCACTGCAGGAAATATTTGTTGTAGGCTTCTCACTGCTACTGTGGCTTTAAAATCACCACCATTAAGGCAGTCATCCAATGTATACAGCGACTGCCTCAATGGATTAGACATGGCCACCCTGCCATTGTCAAGTAGTGTAATTTTGCGGACACCCCAAGCCTGCAACACATACAGTCTTTAGTCTCAAGATAAATGAATTATTATCCAAATTTGTGGTTGTTGGTTTCTGAATAATTACCATAAGCATTCGAGCAACCTGACATCCAAGGGTACCCGCTCCAAGGAGAAGGCACTTTATGGAAAACAAGATGTCTAAGTTAAGAGATGGCAAAGCACGCCATCTCATTAGTTTCAAGTTTAAGTCAGCTGCAGATATGGCTAACCTGTGGAAAAAGTGGAAAAATGAATAATACATTAAACAGATAATACCATAATGCCTAATAAAGTGACAATGCATAAAAAGCTACCTAGTTGGATCCCTGGATTTAGCAAGGTTAATACACATCGGTACTTTTCTCCCCTTATTTAGTTCCCATCCTACAGCATTGGGCACACATTGATGTTCCCTCCATCCTAAAGAGATATTTAAGTCAGAAAAGCTAGCATAAAACGAATTCATAATGTTGGAACAAATAAAATAATTATCCAGCAAAAAGCTGTCATCCAAATTCTGCCACCTACCTTGTCGAGCTGTGATCAAGGCTTCACCAACAAGTGACAAGCTCAAATCAGCAAAACCACGATTCTCTCTATAGCACAAAAAGTGGACTGTTTTCAGATACCATCTGACACAAATAAGTGCTAGGAAGTTGCGGAGAGGCCAGCCAGGATTGTTTTGAAGATGACATGGGTCATAAAATGTAAATAGCAACTGCCAATAACATGTGTAGTAGCTTTGAGAAAGAGATATCCAAGGTTTTGTAGTTTTTAGTCTATCAATATCATCAACCATACGGAATTTTGATTAAAACTGTCCCCTCTGCAATGATAAACAGATTCATATTCCCAAAAGGACATGACGAGAAAGGCAAACAGACCTTTTGGCCATCACGTTGACAAGCTTCCAAATCCTTAAGATGCCTAATGGCAGCACGTGAATCAGAACCAATACAAACCAAAAAGAACGGAACATCTGCAATAGACTCATAAATTCAGGCTGTGAAGGATGTAAAAGATATAGACAAAAAAGGGAGCATAATCACATTTGAATTTCAATGCAGTAACATCAAAAGAAATATAGAACTTGCAATAGCAGAGAGGCAAAATCTACCAGCTGTTTCACTTGAGTTCCGCCATTCATTACATTCCGCTGATACAGATTCTGCCTGCAAGTCAAAAATTAACAAAAGGAAACCTTTAAACACCAAAAAAGACAAAATAAATAATCCAGACAATTTGCTTGTGTTAAGCACATTCTAGCACCTCTTCCAAGGTGAACCATTGAGAAGCTGGCCTCAAATCAACCAAAGTAGCAGGAGGATCAAGTGCAAGAGCAGGAAAAGCAAACCAATAATGAAAGCTCCATCTTTTCAGGTCTGCAAATGAGATAAGAAGGAACCTTGATAATACTGCACAATCTTCCACGGCTTTTCCACTATGAATATCCTCCCAAATCTAATTGTAATTGACAGAAAACATAAACTTCTCAAATAAGATTCGTATCGCATTAAGCCAATTACATGGCACGCTCTATAGTAAACCATTCAAACTGTTTCACCTTCCTCGCTTCTGCCTTGAGCAACCCTTGTTTATCCAAAGCATGGAAACTTTCAGTCGTATTGGTGTTGTAAAGAATGCCCGGAACAGAGCACCTATTTCGATTGCCCCTAGTAATAGCTGACATTGCTGATTCCTCATTCAAATCAGACGGCAGGGATTCAGCGAGGAGAGTCAAATGATTCGAAACTAGAGGATGCGAGCAGGGTGCGTAGAAACCTGCAAAAAGAAAAGCAATTTATTTTGATTATAAAAGGCCAAATTCAAACTCAAAGCTTCCCAATTAAAAATCTTTTGCATTAAAAAAAACTCAAAAGATAAGAAAACTTCATAACTTGCCATTATTAACAACAGAAACTTGGATTAAACCAAGTCCAATCAACAATTAATTATAAATAATTAAAAAAATTTACTTTTACAGGAGAATAGAGACATTAAATTTTCAAAAACGAAAAATAAGACTAATAAATCAGATTTTTGAGCGAATTAAGAGTGGGAAATTTAATTTTACAAAAAGAGAAAAAGAAATTGAAAGGGAATCGGGGAGGTATGGTACCGGAGATAGGAATAGAAGAATCGTCGACGCCAAACTTGTCAAGATTCAAAGAAGATAATCGGTGCCAAAATCCTTCGTCTATAGAACTCTGAAACGGTGCCAATTGAAGAATGGATCCACTCCCTTCTTTCGCCATGCTTTCCCCGTTTCTCTTTCAGTTCCACTTTATTTGCTTGCCATTTCAAATTGCCAGCTCTCTCTTCCTTTTCTGGAATCGTATGAATGTCGTCGAAAAGAAGCCTCCTAGTCCCACTCAGCTCCAAACTAATGCCACGTCGGATTGCTTTTTGTTTTTCAAAAAAATATATATCATTATTGGAATAACTTTTAATTCTTTTTTTTTTTTATTGAAGATATTAGCAAAGTAGCATTGATTCTTTTATGAATTGTGATTTTATATCAGCTATGATCTTTTTACGAGTACTATAATTCTTCAATTAATTCCAACTTTAACATGAAATTCACCATAATTTTTATTTTTTTATGAAATCCGTCTCTACAGATAATTGAGATTGCCTAATAGTATAAATATTTATTTGATGTTTTAATTCATCCATGCTTAAATAATTTTTACGAATTTTGAAATTTAAAAAAAAATAATTTTGAGGATTTTTTTTTCTAAAAATTCAAAATTAAATGAAATTTTCAAAAGAAAGTGAAAGACTTTATAGATAAAAATTAGATGTTAATGGTTATTCTTAAAATATATATTAAACTAAACTTAAGCTGAAATTGCACCGAAAATAAAGAAAAAAACAAGCGAGGAATTTTCTTTTTTTTTTTCCTTTATAACACGAAAACGAGCATATCATTTATTATTATGATAAAAGTGTATATCAGAGTACAGTTTCATTACAAGCCGTTTGAAAGTGTTCTAGACTTTTGGATACAATGTTTATATCGGAAATATAGATATGGCATTTAAAAAAAACAGAAGGTTTTAGTATTCCAAACCAATATTTGCACATAAGAACACCCATATAGAAGAGATATCGCAGTGTCGATCGACACAAACAGGACGAGGGCTAATATTTTACGAAGATGAGCTTGACGAATCCAAGTAAGGGATCCTTCGTCTCTTGTTTGAGAATCTTGAACATGGTGAGTATTCTGGTGACGTAGAAGCCTTCTCCAGGACTGAATTCAGGGCCTGGTGAATGGAACATGCAAGAAATTGCCGTGCCTCCGCATCATCGGCATGTGCAGCAATTCTGCTGCCGGTGAAAAAGAAATCATTCCTCAAGCGACTTCCCAATGTCGATATTTCTGCTTTTACCATCTTAATTGGAAGGGCATGGAGAGCTTTTCGTAGGTCAGTCAGAAGTTCAGGTCTATAATCACAACAGATTGATGCTTTAAAAGAAGATGTCCCATTGGCTTCATCAACACATGGTTCAACTCTCACCTCATCATCGTCCATTGGAACAAGAAAAGCTTTGCTGACTTCAGTTGCATTCTTCTTCAGTTCTTTCACTTGTCTAATTACTTCACCAAGTAATGTGGCTTTATCCATCTACAATGAACAATTGATCGGCAGGGTTAATGATAGATCATGAAATTACTGTCAACTCAAAAACATCTTCTGGCTTCTGTATGAAAATAAATAGGCTGCTAGTCTCGCCAATAGCAAACTAACCAATCAAATTATTGGTTCCAACTACCAGCATATTCTTCTAACAAACCTGTCCACTGAAGCAACTAGCAATACAGCCAAGATAAGTCTTCTTAAAGCATAGTCCAACTGGTGATAGATAATTCCTCAACTATGAAAACAAGCCATATAGACTCAGATAAATCAGCTACGGCAGGAGTCAGATCAAACCAGTAACTACCTGGTAGATGATTTATAGACTTTGATCCAGAAAATATGAATCCTTTGACTTAGTTAATTATTAAAAAAATATTGACAAATGGAGAAGAGCAACAAAAAAAGAATGTAATATAAGGACCTTTCTAAGTATCCCATGTCTAATCCTTGCTTACGTTCCAACCATAATATAAAATCACATTACTCTACTAACCAACACATATCTATGTATGCCTCGTATAATTAGTTAATATATTGAAGAAATAGCCCGCGGGAGGATCCACAGCAGAAGAACAGCTGTTACATTGCTCCATCAATCTAATCATTATCATCGCAGTCACTTCCGAATATATATATGGTGTCCAACCAACCGGCTATAAGCTTTGTCAGCGAAACTAATATTTTATAACGTTATGTCAATCTTATGGGCATGTTCTTTGTTAATTAACACAAAGATATCAGCAGAGTAGAAGCAGTTGCAGGTAGAAGGAAGGTGTACCTAACCATCAACTAGAAAAGTTCCTGAGATTGAAAATTAAACAAGATGAAAAAAATTTGATCCGATGATAATCAGTCTTGTTTTTTAATCTACATTGTAACTTACCTCGAGTTTGGTTTATTATTGAGCATACCCAAACACATAGACTGTCATCCTCTTTTCTTTCTGTACACTTCTTTCATATAACAATGCAGATCACTCCTGTAGACAAGCTTTCAATGTTGGTTTTGCTTGAAAGCACAGAACCAAACTCATCTAGAACTTTGAATGCCCAATATGATGCAACTCATGTACTACAATTTATCAGAAATATACCAATCATCCACAGAAGGTCTGAAATTGGGGGCAGAAGGGCATTCCCAACCATAAATAAACCTTAATCTCATAATAGTCAAATTCTAAAAATATCTATTAAATTAAAAAATTGATGCATCCCATAGTTGACTCTAGCATTTCTGAAATTCAGAGTTGACCTTCCAAGTGCAAAAATAATGCAACAAAAACTGGATTACACAATTGCATAAGAGATTTGAAACTTAAACATTAAATACTTGTTTCATGACCTACAACTTCATTTCTTTTCTTCTCATAGAGGACAATAAATAATACCATTTGAGGAGGCTGATATAAATCAAGAACTCTGCAATTTTACAATGCATATTGAATTAAGCCCCTCATAATTTGATAAGAATATCTGATTCAAGTTTATCCTACAAAATAATAAATGTGTCATCATTCATTCATAAGGGCCTGACTCATTCCTATCACGGAACTCATCATGGGCAACCTCTAGGTTCTTGAAATGTTAACTGATATTCTAAAAATTGAGGGAAAAGAATCAAGTACACCAGTAAGTAGTCCAAAATTTCAAGATGTTATTATATCTTTTCAAGATTTGGGAGAGGAACCAATTAGACTATGCCTCAGCTACAATTAGGCCAAAACACTTATTTTAGTCTAAGTTGTCTAATGTTTTGCATTCTCCATTGCTCTTCCCTTTGCCTTAAACACCTAGAGCTTGGAGTTCATTTCTTTCCCTAACTCTTCTAAGCAATCAAACATACTCTAAATTAACCAGAAACAGTTAAAAGAAGAGCTTGCTGCATATGATCTAATTGATACTGCTTATTAACATCTATGAACTGTTTTAAAAGCAGTTTCAGTGAAATTGATAAAATCAACAGGATATAGCATGCAAGTGTCACAACCTGCACATGGCCGGAAGAGTCAATTCCCGGTTTCAGGAGCCACACATGCTAGAGCTTGAGACTCAGCCCTGACATAAGCCACCACTACTTTAATTCAAAGAATCCTATCAAGCACATAATATAAGCAAACTAATCCATATTCCTCTCCCAATAAAATTTTCCAATAATCAACTTTCAAGAATTGCTTCAAAATTTTAAATTAACTGAATTATATTAGTCATTAACAAAGATAAACCAAATTCTAACGTAAATTGTACTAGTACATGAAAAATAGAATAACCTTTTCTCTGCAGGGCAAGAGGGTGCGGAGGGTTTCAAGATGAGCATTGATCCTTTCTCTCCTTCTCCTCTCTGCTTCGCTATGACTCTTCAACGCCGCTATAACTTTCTCTTCCGACACGTTTTTTTCCCCTACTTTCAACGGCGTCTTCACCAGCTCCCCTTTCTCACTATCCAAAACCAAGGACTGTGACACCGACACCGACGAAGACCCTTCATTGCATGGACCCGAATCACGTGAAAACGGATCAAGGAAACCAGAATAACAATTTCCAGATGAAAAGTTATTGTTGAAAGAGAAAGCTGCCATACAAGAACAAAAAAAAAAAAAGTTCCTTGCGAGTTTCTTTTTGTTGGTTTTACGAACCAGAAATGAAAGAGAGTACACCGGGTGGACGTGTGGTGGGAGCAAACCAAAAGGAAATCTTTTCGAGAGGGAAGTTTTGTTGCTTAACGTTGTTGATCAGTGCTATGACTAATATGATGATAGCTTCCATTACGAAAGAGGACAACACTAGGGGAATAGTTTTAAGCAGATGAAGATTAATAATAAAACATCCACATTTTCATCTTGATGGTCTTGAATTCTAGCATTTCTTCGAGATATGTTTGATTCTTTTGAGAGTTTTGAGACGTTTGAACGAGAAAAAAAAAAACAAAAAAAAGTTTTTGATGGGATTTTTGGGATTTCGATGAATAATCAAAAAGGAAATGGACAAACAAGTCAAAGAAGATTTGGGTTCCAAATCCAAGTAGCAGAGAATTAGGCTTGCAGAACAGAACAAGATAAACTCTGTTTCTCTGAGTTTCTTGGAGTTTCTGTGAGCATAAGACTTTTTCGATTTCGGTATCGAACTGAGGTATATAAATTGGATAGGAGCGAGATGGACTTAAAAAAAGTGTTAAAAAGGTCAATGGGATCATAAGAGGAAAGACCCACGAAGCTTCGTGTGTCAATTTTTTATTAAAATGGATTAAATAAAATTAAAATTTTAAATTAATAAATTACAATTTTTTATTACATAGATTAAACTTGTAAATTTAAAAATATTTTAAATAAATCTTGATATATTTTTAAATAAATCTTTTTATTAAAAATTTTAACAGAATTTTTATTTTTTAATATTTAAGTTGTTAAGATTTGAATATAATTATTAAAACTAAAAGTTTAATATTCTATTAATAAGCCATATAAAGATTGGTTGATAAAATTTTTATTTGTTAAATAATTACAAAATAAATTTGAATTATAAATAATATTTTAAATTCTTTTAAAAATATTATTAAATTTTTATTAAATTATTGATTTATAGGTCTATATTTTAAATTAAAATTTGGATTAAATATTCATATAATTCTTTTACTTTATATTTTATGTAAATTTAATACGTAAAGAAATGAAATTTGTAATTAAGTACTATCATTCATAATGGTGTTTTTAATTAACATTTTTATTTAACTTGTTGATGTGATATAAATATATAATAAAATGCTAATGATCATAAAAAAATTAATCATTGCCACGTTAACATTGCAAAAAAAATCTAAAAATTAAAAATCTAAAAATAAAAAAAAAAACTAAAAATTTTAAAAAATGAAAAAAGAACTTTGAAAATTTTAAAAAAGAAAAAAATATATAAGGAAACTAAAAAAACTAAAAAAATGGAAATTTAAAAAATATTGAAAATTTAAAAGATCTAATTTTGAAAATTTTAAAAAATCACAAAAAAATCTGAGAATTCCAAATATTATCTTTTTAATTTTTTAGAAGATTTAAATTTTTATATTTTTTAAGTTTTTAGGATTTTTTAAATTTTAAATTTTTATGATTTTTTATTTTTCTCCATTTTTTAAATTTTGAATTTTTTTTATTTTTATGGTTTCAAATTTTTTAATTTTTAAAGTTTTAAAAAGTTTTTTTGATTTTTTTTATTTTAAGAAATTTTATTTTTATATTAAAATTTTTAGATTTTTTATTTTCTATTTGAATATTTCAAAATTATTTTTTGAATTTTTTGGATTTTAATAAAATTTTCAAATTTTTTTTTTATTTTTTCAATTAAAAAAAGTATAATGTAGATATCATTTTTATATTTAACTCTAAGATTTTTATTGACTATTTTTAATAAAAAATTTCATAAAATTTACCTAAATTTTTCATCTAAATTTATTCATTAACCGAAAAACTTCATGGAAGCTTGTTTAGTTTAAGGTGTCTTAAAGGCCTAAAAAATCCAAATTTATTGTATAATCAAACCTTTAATCTTAACAACATTAAATCATAGGGTATTTTATAATCTTTTACGTTATTTGTTTTGTTTTCCAATTTCTTGCAAGTAGCAGCTAGTAACATTTTTTTGGGATGCCAAACACAAGATTTTATTGGCTTGATAGCAATCCATCCACAATACAAGAGAGTCGCTCAAGACATATTCTTGTAATCTAACATCTTACAGAAAACGCCACCAGCTAGTTATCTAAAAAGATACTAGAGACAATTCATCTCTTATGGTGGAGCTGGAAGCCCGTCTTTGTTAGGTAAAATGTTGGGTTTGTATAAATTTTTTATCTGATTTTTAAAATTTGATTCTTAAATGTGAGTGATTAATCTGTGTTACATTGTTAAATGAATTTATATCCTTGTGGACGTATACATAGAAGAAATACTTTGATCTATGAATTTTATAATGAATTTTATGTTATATCAATATGAAATTGTAGGATTATTCATCCAATTATCAATCACTTTGAATAGAGTTTGGCATGACCAATTTTTTCTTTGCTATTCATTGTAAAAAATGTAGGCTAAAGCCAAAAAATAAGTTAAGATAAAAAGTTTGACGGTAAAAAAATCAAATTAAACATAATTTATGTGACAGAAATATTTGTGGAAGAATATATTTTAATAAATAAATAAATAAAATTGATTGAGTTACGAATTTAAAATAAGAAAATCTCTTCTTACCCTAAGTTTTATTCCAATAAAGAACTCACCTAAATCACTTGCCTTTTTATTATTGTGAATAAAAGCTGATTTGGAACGCTAAACTCCTTTTGTAAGGCTTTATAATAGTCGAGAACTAGGAAATGTCTTCTTAAGTTAAGCCAAAACACAACAAATAAGTTGGAGGGAGGGTAACGCAGGGGCTAGGGGCCAATCGTTTCCTCACTTCCTCCGTTGACATCAAGATTCCATCTAATTATTCTTAATTAATTTGAAATAACAAAGAGCAAAGCAAAACTTTGCTTCCACAAATTTTCCATGAGAAAGTCTTAGAAAGTAAAATTTTTCAAATGAAGTTTGTGGAATATTTTATTAAATTTTTTTAATAAAAAATAAAATTAAAAATTAAAATATTTTGTTATATAAATTAAGTGTATAATTTTTTAAAAAATTAATAAAATTTGATATAATATTTAAATAGATATTTTTAACAAAAATTTTGATAAAATAATTATCGTTAAAAAGTATTTATCAAATTTGAATTATAAACGATAATTTTATTTATTTTACATATTATTGATATTTTCATTAAAATTTATCAATTAATCAATTTTAATTTTTTATTTGAATTTTTATTAAATCATTTTTAATAAAAAATTTCATATAAATTTTTTTAGTTTTCCAATAATATGTTAGAAAACTTTCTTTCTAGATGTTTGGTAGTCTTGCCTTGTCATCATCTAACTCTAGAAGTGGTCAAAACTTTCCTTGTTGGTAGCATCTCATATATAAAATCAAAATAGGATTTCATTTTATAATTATGGGTTAATTTGTCTAGATTCAATTCATTTTCAAGACTATTTATAAATTTTATGAATTTTGTCTTAAAGTTTGTGTATTTGATAACCTACCCTTTTATCAAAAGCTTGAACATCTATCATTTTTGTTTTTTTAATAAAAACCATCGTAATTTAAAAATAAAATTATAAATATTAAAAATTAAAATTTTAAATTTTATTTAAAAAAAAAAACAGTATATATACCCATTGAATAAAACGTGAGTCTAATTTTTCTTAGATTTATGGCACAGTTTGAATGCAAATGTGAAGGATGGATCATGAACTTTTTATGATAAGTAGTGAAGAGACGAACCAAGCAAGTTTGTAATTGATGTGATGCTTTTGATTAAAAAGAGAGAATGGACTTGAGATCAAATCGTAGACATGACCAAAGCTCTCACTTTCTCTACCATATAAATGTGGTTAATTACTACTTTCTACTTATCACTTTCGGAGCAGTCTCATTTATTTAAGTTTCTTACATCATGCAACTGATGGTAATGTAATACTGCTGGATACTTTGAAATCTATTGGATAGAAAAAATTGTTATGGAAAAACCAAAGGGAAATAAAAATGATCAAATGCAAACAATTTATTTGACATTAAAGACGTCTTTTTCTTAACAAAATAGTTAAATCCAAATAGCATAGTAAACAGTTTGAATATAAATAGAATTTTATTATGTATATCATTTATTTATTTAATAAAAAAATTTAAAAATTATTTATAATAATTTATTAAATTTAATAAACTAATATAAATTAACTCTAAGAGTATTTATAATTATTTGTTAAATTTAATGAATTAACAAAAATTAAGTTTGTTCATAATTTATTAATTTAATTAATAAATGTTAAAATGTTATTTATATATGAGAATTTATTAAAATTAATAAATTTGTATAATGGAATTGAAATAAAACTTTTTTACAAAACGTTCTTTTTAGGAAGTTTCTTGGAAGTTTCGAGGCTGTTTGCATCCCTAAATCCAAACTATCCCAAATTGAGTTATTAAAACATCCGGCCAAAATCCATAGTGGGTGGCGGAAAGCAACTGGATGTAAAAAAAATTCTAAACCCCACTATTCCACTCACCTCACTTAAAAAAAGCATAGTGGAAAAACTTGTGGCATTGGACCAATGGATGGCAGTTCTCTAGTGTTGATCATGGTTACGATAGCTAAAATCAAGTACTGATGTACCAGCTTTTCTTGTCTTCTGCTTCGGCTGATGATTTTATACTATTATTCTACTAATCAATTTGAAGCTTATGTTATGAAATTTGTCATTAGTGTGCAAGATGCTTCCTTAAGACAGATTCTGGAGCAGATTTTCAATTTTCATAAGCTTCATTGTGTGATAAAGCAATAGCATTATATGATGTAGCATACGTAGATAGAACCTTTATGATTATTTTTAAATTCATGGATTTATTGGATGTCTTTTAGTGATAATTTGAAATTCTTATCAGTATGTAAAAATTATAAATAATATGCATTTACATTTTATTCTCACAATTTATATAATAAATTAAATTTAAATTCAAAAATTTTAAATTCATCTTTTTAAACATAACAGAGTAAAGTCGTAAAGTTAGAAATGCAAGGAACCATACCAAATTCAAATTAATCTCGAAATAGCTACAAGGAAAATGAAAAAGAAAATTTCAATAACATCATCCACAAAACAAGGGAAGAGGACACCGGTTTTTTTTTTTTTTTTTTTTGAGAAAGCCATGCATCACGCGTGCTCCCGAGTTTGACTCGCATAATTAGGAGAGAACATTTGGTGGATTCAATTTTGAAAGTTTAAAAATCGAATTAACCTTTTTTTCATTTAAAATAATTGATCAAATTAAAATGGTTAACTTAAAATAATAGAAATCAATTTAGCTCGATCGGGTGATCTAATCAGTTTTAACTTAAAAAAAAAAACAAATTACTTATATTATTATATAAAAACAATTTTACATTTATATTATATCAAATAAACGATATATTATATTATAAATAATTTTAAATTATTATATTAATTATGTTATATTTATATATATAATAATATAATTAAAAATAAAATAAATCAATTAATTCGTTTATTAATTTTAAACACGTACAATCAATCGAATTAACTGAATTAATTTTTTTTAACTAATTAATGCTGATACCAGATAAATCAAACCGAATTTACCGAACGTGGTCGGTTTGGGTAAGGTAAATCGGTTCAAGGGGCTAGCGAACGTACACCAGCGTTAGCACTTTCTCTTCCCTTTCCCCCTCACCAGCTTTCTATAATGGCCGCCACCACCACTTCCTTTAAAGCCTCGCTCTCTTCTACACCGTCGATATCTTCATCGACCGAATCAGTGGCCCTCAAACCACGCTTTACATCAACATTGTCATGGTACTCGCCGACTCCAAAATCACTGATCGTTGTTCATGTCCCTACAAACAAACGCGCCAGATCATCATCGATCGCAGCCAAGATGATCCCCGTTCCTTCTTCCATTTCTCCAACGACGTCGCTCGACTTTCATACCTCCGTTTTCCAGAAAGAAAAGATCTCTCCTTCTGGTCACCACGAGGTTAACTGATGACTAATTAAGTCATTTCATTTCATTTCTTCTTTTTTTGGTTTTGTATTTTTTTTGCTGGTTATTCCATATATAAATATATATTTATATTTGATTGGTTTGTGTAATTGGCAGTACATAGTGAGAGGAGGGCGACATTTATTCCCTTTGTTGAATGATGCTTTCAAAGGAATCAAACAAATTGGAGTCATTGGTTGGGGTTCTCAGGTAATTAATTTACCACATTTTCGTTTTTTTTTTCTGTAAAATTAAAGCAAAAAGAAAACCCCTTTTTTTCACTGTCTATGAAGAGCAAAATCATGCTTTTCATTGACTATGGAAGTCTAAATTTTATTTATTTATTTTTTATTTTCGCAAGTATTCTTTAATCTTATATCCAAATATTACATTCCTTTTAACTAAAATGTAACCTTTTGTTACGTGAGTACTAAAGAGTTCTAGTGGTGACAATGATATTATCTAAATTTACTTATTTTGACCCATTGATTTTATCGCTCTGATGTTGATTTTGCTATATCGCATTTCCATTAGTGTGATTTAAATTATGGTTTTTAGGGGCCAGCTTAAGCACAGAATCTGAGGGATTATCTTGCAGAGGCAAAATCTGATATTGTTGTGGAGGCAAATTCGAATCTTTCCTTCTCGTTTAAGAACAAGAAAGAAATTCTAACTCACTGCATTCTTTTTGTGTTCAATGATTGATATTTATTTGACTGATTGTACTGTAATTTGATCTCAGATTGGGTTGAGGAAGGGCTCTTGCTCTTTTGCTGAAGCCCGTGCTGCAGGATTTACCGAAGAGAAATGGAATTTTGGGGGATATATGGGAAACAATTGGTGGAAGTTATCTCGTGTTATTGTTGATCTCTGATTCTGCACAGGTTGGTAGATTTCTCACATGTTTTCCCTTTCTGCAATGTAAAAGATTGGTCATTTGTTATTGTTAGCATTGATTGATTGTAAAAGCTGTATGCCCATACCAGACATCTTACTTAGACCAAATTTATGATTCGCATGAAACATGTTTTCCTAGACTATTAGACTGATTTGTGATGACTTGCAAATGCCAACACCTACATGCACTATGATTCAGATGTCATTGTGTTAAATTTATATTATTGAGAACTTTCCTGTGAAGTCCATCATTCTTTGTTGGGCTTGATTTCTCATCACTTTTTTTTTTTTTCTGGTTGGATATTACTTGAGCATTTTCTACTTCTAATTCATGTGGAAATTCAAACAAAATACTTATGTTCTTTGCACATTTTGGTTTGTTCTTAGGAGGCGTTAATTTTAAATTTTGTGTTGTAGGCGGATAATTATGAAAGGGTCTTTTCCCACATGAAGCCAAATAGCATCCTTGGACTTTCCCATGGATTTCTTCTTGGTCATTTACAATCAACGGGCCTTGATTTTCCTAAGAACATCAGTGTAATTGCTGTCTGTTCTAAGGGTATGGGGCCTTCCGTGAGGAGACTCTATGTTCAGGGCAAATAGATAAATGGTGCTGGAATTAATGCTGGTTTTGCTGTCCACCAGGTTCCCATCTCTTTAATTCCCAGATTCAACTAAGTAGTCTGAATGAATGTCAAAAACTAAACCTTTTCCAAAAAAAAACATACTTAATACTGATGTCTAATGTGGAGGAGGATGTTGATGGTAGAGCTACAGATGTAGCCTTGGGATGGTCGGTCGCCCTTGGTTCTCCTTTTACATTTGCCACCACATTGGAGCAGGAGTATAGGAGTGATATTTTTGGGGAGAGGGGTGAGCTGAGTTGTTTGAGTTATTTTGTTAACCATGCATGTTTTCATCTTTTTTAGTTTTAATGCTTATAATGTGTCATCGTTGCTGCTTTCTGTAGGTATCTTACTTGGCGCTGTTCATGGAGTTGTAGAATGCTTGTTTAGGAGGTATGTTGAGAATGGAATGAGTGAAGAATTGGCTTACAAGAATACTGTTGAGTGCATAAAAGGAATTGTATCAAAGACCATTTCGACAAAGGTCATCTCTGTTGCTTGCTCTGTTCTCTCCTTTCTTGGGAGGTTTTACTTATGGTCCCTGTTGTGGCTCTGCTTTTTTGTTTGTTTCCACAAGGTATGTTAGCTGTGTACAACTCATTGTCTGAGGATGGCAAAAAGCTATTTGAGGCTGTTTATAGTGCCTCATATTATCCTTGCATGGAAAACCTATACAAGTGTTATGAAGATGTTGCAAGTGGAAGTGAGATTCGCAGTGTTGTTTTAGCTGGGCGTTGATTTCATGTATGTTTATAACACTATATTCCTGCTTTTGTCAGTTTTGTTCATGATAGATCCTCATTTCATGAATCTTTCATTGCTTAAAGTTTGTTCTCAGCAAAAACAAATCTTGCTTGATGGCTGACTAAGAATTGTTTTACAGGAAAAGGAGCCTGCCTTCCCAATGGGTAAAATTGATCAGACACGGATGTGGAAAGTTGGTCAGTGTGTCCGAGCAACTAGGTTGAAAGATGACTTAGGTCCACTGTGTCCTTTCACTTCTGGGGTTTTTGTGGCACTAATGATGGCCCAGGTAATCAGTGCCATTTTAAATTTTGGATAATGATAATTAAATGTAGTACTAGTCTATCTGACAAAGTAAATCACTTCAATAATTTTGCTTTGGGTTTTTTTTTTTTTCTCATCCTTTGTAATCGAAAATCTAGATTGAGGTCTTGAGAAAGAAGGGGCACTCGTATTCAGAAATCATCAATGAGAGTTTGATTGAAGCTGTAGATTCCTTGAACCCCTTCATGCATGCTCGAGGAGTCTCTTTCATGGTTGATAATTGTTCCACCACTGCACGATTGGGAACAAGAAAGTGGGCTCCACGTTTTGATTACATCCTTACTGAACAAGCATTTGTAGCAGTGGATTCTGCGCTCCTATCAACCAGGACCTGATAAGCAACTTCTTATGTGATCGTGTTCATGGAGCTATTGAAGTCCGCGCACAGTTGAGACCAACTGTTGATATATCAGTGCCCCCTGATGCAGATTTTGTTCGTCCAGAATTGTGCCAATCCAGTTAGAGTTGAAGAGATTTTAAATTCATTATGATAATATCTAAGGTGAATGTTTTCTAATAGAGTGGGGTACTTTCCAATAAAAGCTTAATTGAGTTTTACTACTTGTCAGAATGAGGATAATTTTTATTACCTTGTTAGCTGATATTTAATTTATATAATTTTTCTATTAAAAAAAATTCTGAAGGTGAACTTTGTAAAATTAACGTGTTCCTATCTGCAAATACTATGTCGATCCGGAAAAGTGAGCTTAGCCTAGTTGAGTAGTGACTCAGTAGAACCGAAAGTCGATCACAGCATCAGCGACAGTAGGACAATGGATTTGGCAGAAAATATCATGTACAGTCAAGATTCAAGAACATCTTGTTTGTTTTGCTTAATCTATGCGGTCTTCCCTGCTGCTCAGCTTGCAAAGAGACTCGAAGGGATTTAACTACTGTTCTGTTTAATATTAATCAATTATGGAGACTGACTCATGTCTTATCTTAACAAGCTAAGCCTTATTTACCTCCTTCCAGCAGAAGGGAGCTTCACAGTAACAATAATTGGTGTTCCTATTTTGGATAATGTAAATTTGTACCTCGTCCTATGCGGGTGTGGATTCGGGAATGATGTAGAATTACGCAATGTCATAAAATCCCAAATCATTAATAAGAAATAACTTGTTATTAGAGTTAAATCAGTGGACTAGCACCGTTTCTATCTTGAAATATTTGAGTTTGTTTCATGGCTCAAATTGTAAGTATTCAACACCATTGTAGAAAAAGCAGGACAACGGACGACTCCCTGGCGTAGCAGCCAAACATGGTAGTATGATATAGACTAATTGTCCCTGGGTTGTAACTTGTGAGGGTGGAGATTTCACGTATAACGATCAGCCAGCCTTAGCACGCTAACTTGCTCCGTCAGTTCCTCTGTGTACAAGACGACACAATAATTGGTGAGCACAAATTTTTTGTGCAGGAATCAGATACCATTAAATTTTTTGGACCCTTATTTCGTCATATATTACTCTATAGAATCATTTCATAATTCCATCAAAATAAGAATTACTATCAAATTGTGATCTTAATTTAAAACATATAAGACTTCTTGCTCATACATTTAGCCAAACTAGTCAGAACGCAAGTTTAATAGGAACATAAACTGCTTGGTTCATCCCTAATACCTGTTTCTTGATATACTCTTTGATGGTTCCTAGTTTGTCCCCTTGTTTGTCTGCTTCTTGAAACTGATCAACACATATGAAGATCTCTGGAATCTATCACTGAACTTATTGCCGGAACTTTAATAATCAAACAATTTCACTTTGATACGAAACAGAATCTAATAAAATAAAAGACGTATACAAAAGCATCGAGTCCTTTTCAGAAAATTTTCCAGGGCAAGTAGAATGGGGAATTTGTCTGTTACAAATCTGCGAGAAGCGTGGGTTGGGAAACTCTCTCTATATAAACCACAAGCCATCTTAGGATTGGTATGTCTCACATTCCTTCACCATAACATCTCTTGAAGTTTGCTTTGTGGACTCTGGTCTCTAACAATGGCTTCTTCAAGTCAATGTTTGGCATTACTCTTTGTTTTGGGAATTTGGGCTTCTCAGGCCTCGTCCCGTTCTGTTCCTGAGGTATCCATGTCTGACAGGTTTGACCAATGGTTGTCTAGCTATGGTCGGGTTTATCAGGACGTATCCGAGAGGGCGAAACGTTTCCAGATATTCAAGGAAAATGTGGAGTATATCGACTCCCACAACGCTGATATCAGCAAAAAGTACAAGCTTGGGGTTAATGAATTTACTGATTAGATCAATGAAGAGTTTAAAGTCATGAGAAATGGTTATAAAATGCGACCTAATATTGTTGCATCTTCAAAAACATCTTCTTTCAGATATGAAAATGTTACTGCAGTTCCATCTACCATGGATTGGAGAACTAAAGGAGCTGTTACAAACATCAAGGACCAAGGCCAATGTGGTAAGTAACAGAATTTGTAAAGAAATTAAAATAATTCTGATTCCGTAATGCTAATTGTTTCTTTTGAATGACGTAGGATGTTGCTGGGCATTCTCAGCTGTGGCAGCCATGGAAGGGATTACCAAGCTCAAAACTGGTAAATTGATCCCATTATCAGAGCAAGAGTTAGTTGATTGTGATATCAATGGGGAAGACCAAGGCTGCAATGGTGGTCTCATGGATGATGCTTTTGATTTTATCATTTCAAACAAAGGACTTACAGCTGAATCCAATTATCCCTACCAAGGAGTTGATGGAAGCTGCAACAAGAAAGAAGCAGCCAACCATGCTGCTAAGATCACTGGTTATGAAGACGTACCTTCAAATAGTGAGTCAACACTGTTAAAAGCTGTGGCCAATCAACCAGTTTCAGTTGCCATTGATGCTGGCGGCTCTGACTTCCAGCACTACAAAAGTGGTGTCTTCACTGGTGAATGCTCCACCTTCCTGGACCATGGGGTTACAGCAGTTGGTTATGGACAAGCTGATGATGGAACCAAGTATTGGTTGGTGAAAAATTCATGGGGCACTAGCTGGGGTGAGGATGGATACATTAGAATGCAGAGAGATATTGATGCCAAAGAAGGTCTTTGCGGTATTGCAATGGAAGCCTCTTACCCAACTGCTTGAAGGGTAAACACATATATAAAATTATGCTGCTTTATGCAGTACAATGACCCTCCTTTCAATATGCCCTTATCAGCTTATTCATAGGAAACAATATGAAACAAGGCTACATATGTATAGTTCCAATATTATTGTCCTGTACTTGTTACCTAGGCCTTGAAATCAGAATGAAAAATATTTCACTCGTTAATTCTGTTGTTTCGTTCACATCTTTCTACTATTATAAATGAGCAGCATTCGCTTAGAATAAGAACCGGTCACAATTGATTTTTTAAGTAGTTCGAGGACTGATTTTATGATTATAGCTGATGTCTAGCTAATGCAAAATTGAATTCAGCTTTACTCCTAGCTGCAGAATAGTTTTCTGATTGTGAAATTTAGAGCCGGAAGATTAGGACATGGGAAATGTAATTTTGTTTCTTTACCCTTTTGGTGGCCAGAAAGAAAAAAAAAATGTAATTTTCAAACACATATTTTCGTTTCTGCTTCAATTCTTTCAAACATCAGATACTAAAAACTAAAATCTGTAAATTCGTTCTTGATCGTCTAGTTTCCATCCTGTTTGGCCTTGATTATTCATGAGACTATTTATGATTGATTTTAAACAAATAAGCTTAAAGGTTACAGTATCGAAATCCCAACCTCATAATTTTCATTAGATGTGGAATATGTTTTAACAACACATCAAATGAAAGAAAAGAATTCCTCATTCCTATTGCTTATGGTAACTTCCTAGGTAACAACAGCCAAACACTTTTTTCTAACAAAAATAATCGAGTGGAATTTCCAGAGTAAGCAGACCAAACACTTACTGCTTAAATTTTGTATAAATTCTTCAAGTACATGAAACATAAGTTACATAACCGCCATAACATAAACAAATTTACATTAGTTTACAACTTGATGAAAATTACATGATACTGACATGAGGTCGCAGCTTAATATAACAGTACTAGAATATAATAATCTTTTCTTCTTTCATGCAATTGGATAAGAAGCTTCCATTGCAATGCCACAAAGGCCTTGCTTGGCAGTAACATCCCTCCGGAGCCTCATATAACCTTTTTCACCCCAGCCCGTGCCCCATGAATTCTTCACCAACCAGTACTTGGTCCCAGCCGAGCTGGTTCCATAGCCAACTGCCGTGACTGCGTGGTCAAGGTATGTGTCACACTCCCCAGAGAAGACCCCGCTCTCGTAAAACTGGAAATACCGTCCACCACCTTCAATAGCAACAGAAATTGGTTGGTTGGCCACAGCTTGCAATAGGGCCTTTTCGTTGTTAGCCGGTACGTCTTCATACCCAGTTATAGTAGCTGCTGGAGTTGCTTCCTTTTTGCAAGTTCCTTCTGATCCTTGGTAAGGATAGTTGGCTTCTGTTGTTAAGCCACGGTTGCTTTTGATGAACTGAAAGGCGCTGTCCATGAAGCCACCTACACATCCTTCATCTTCACCATTGATGTCACAGTCCACGAGCTGCTGTTCTGACAAAGAAATTAACTTCCATTTCTTGATTTGTATTATTCCTTCTACAGCCGCCACAGCTGAAAACGCCCAACAACATCCTATATTTTGACACAATAACAAGTATAAACCAATCATGAAGTACAAAGAAAACGTAAATAGCCCCAAAAGTTTTACTTCTAATTCCTGAATTCTGACTCACCACAGGTGCCTTGATCCTTGACAGAAGTCACTGCACCCTTTTCCCTCCAGTCCACAACTGTTGGCACGGATGTTACATTTCCATAGCGGAAAGTAGAGGGTTTTGAATAGGACATCGATTCGAAGGACTGGCGTTTATAACCAGTGTGTAAGGAACAGAATTCCTCATTGGTTAAGTCTGCAAATTTATTTACGCCTAGCTTGTATCCTTTTTCCACACCATTATTAAAAGCTTCAATACGTTCAACGTTATCCTTAAATATTTCATAGCGTTTCTCCTTCTCTGCTGCGTCTGTATAGACGCGGCAGTGCAGAGCCATCCATTCCTCATGCCTCTTCAGCATGTCTTCCTCGTTGAGAGGGCGAGAAAGGGCATGGGAAATCCAGATGGACAAAACAAGGAGATAGGCCAAGTACATGTTTTGGCATAGATTTTTTGCCATTAAACTAAGATTATTTAGGAAAGTGATTTTTTTTTTCCAATGGGCATACCAACTTCAAAAGAGCTATAGGGGTTTTAAAGACGGTTTTTTCTCATCAGTCATCACCCTATATCCCCACCTCAATTGTGCTCGATGACTTACCTCAAACTCTACGTAACTTGAAATATGTTCTGACTTAGATCCCCAAATTGGAATGCAGTGCACCGTTAAATTAGTCATAATGGGTGACATTGGCGTGAATGGTTCCGTGAAAATCTGCTAATATGTGATTGTCACAGTTAAAGTCATTAGAGTGCTTACTTTAATATCCAACGAAGAGACTGAAGTGACAGAGGAAGCTGGGATTTAACAGAACAAAAATCTCAAAATATGAAATTACTGATATCGGTGACCACTTATCTTACAATTTTGTTCGTTTTTATCGTATTATTTATGCAAAAAAGTTATATGCATTAAATCTCGAAAATACAATGAAACCTAATAACTAATTGCATTTTATATTGACAAAATCAATCTATTGGCATATTACAAGATTATCGAACTTTTATAAAAATTTTTTTGCAGCAAAAACTTATGAAAAAAATCTGAATGTTGTTTGAAAAAAGAGAGTTTTACAAATTATTTCTATATTTTTTTAGAATACCAAAGAAGCTTAAATAATCAATTTCCTCTTTATTCTACAAATATAACTATCTATTTTGAATAGATAAAAATACTCTATTTTTTAACAATCAAAATTATTTATTTAAACAAATTTATCTATTTATTTTGTATAAATTTAATTGTTTATTTTTATCTATCTGTTTTAGACAGATTTAATTAATCAAATACTTAACTAAAATTAAATTTTAAATAAAATAATATTTTAATTACTACACTTGTCCAAATGCCATTAACATATATTAATTATTTAATTAAGACAAACCAAACTAAAAAATACAAGCTCATGGTCCATCTTTGCATTTTAACCACCTAAATACAAGTAAATTGAACTTTTACTCCTCTTAATTAAAATAATAATCTTTTTTTTTTTAATATGAGATTTTTTTCCGTTCTTTATTTTGAAAATTTTTAACAGAATTAAGCATAAGAGAGACTAAACTACGGTCTATAACAGAGGAAATTGTGTTTAACAAGCAACATGTATCAAAACGAAGAGAGCAGTTACTTCGCTTTCATTCTGCTATGTTTGACAAGGCATAAGCAGAGAAAAGATTATGGCCAAACTTAAGGGTTCCCGGCCCACCTTAGCCAGGACTATTTGGTTATTAATCATGATTTGTGGCAGATGACCTTGATCAAGTTGCATGTAACCATTGGAGATGAGATCTTGAATATTGAGAAATAAGATTATTGTGACGGGGATATGTCACACTTGGAGTGTACGATAACACATTAAAAAGTTTATACATATATATTGGATATTATTTTAGTTTAAAAGCTTAAATTAGGTTCTTGGATAACACTTGATCTCAAAATTTTAAGTTATTAGGTTTTTGGGTACTATATATATATATACACACATGATATCTCACTTAAAGTTTTTAGTAATGTGAGATTTTTTATTTGAATGTGAATCTTATTTCAACAATTTTCCTGTTCACTTGTGAGTTTTAATTCATTTGTGAATTATGATCAAGTCTTATGATTTTAATCTTGCACTCCATCACAGATTGACTCAATATATCACTTGTTTCAATTTCACACACTTGTTATGTCCAAGTTGAACCTATTTATGGACTCGTTGCATCCAAGTCAAACTTTTGGTTTTAAAACCAATTGATGGGGAATATATTACACTTAGAGTCCACGGAGTACACTAAAGAGTTTATCCATACATGTTGACATCACTTGAACTCAAAAATTTAAGTTATTAAGTATTTTTATATGTATATGAGATATCTCAATCAAATTTTTTAATAATATAAAATTCTTTACTCGTATATAAATATTATCTAAACATATTAAAAGGTCGATACGAGGACCTAATAAAGTTAAATGAATATCATAGTATTTCATGAATTGAATCAGGGTACTATACCATCAAGTTGCCTTAATAATTTATTTATTCTGATTGGAAAAGAAGATAAACAGAAGCCAGAATTTACAAACTGATCTTGCAGTTCATAGCCTCTTGTATTCTTCTGTTGTTTAAAAATCAAAAGAAGATTGCATTTGGTGGTGTAGCATCATATCATGATTTCAAATGATGGTTCACAGAAAACGTCTTCATCCGAAAGCCACTAACCTTATCAATCAATCATTATACATCGGACTATTACTAGTTGAAATCAAAGTCATGCAGATTCCATCACAGTAAGAGTCCCTTCAAATTAGTATTTGTTGGAATTCATGATTCCATCTCTCAGAAGACCAGACAAAAACAACTGATGAACTCATGGCGTTCACATAAAAACTATTTTTGAAACACTAGCCGTGCAAGTCAGATCCCTTTTATGTTTCATCTTTTCAGATAACAGAATATGTATCACAAGCAATCTCGGAAAGCAAACTTTATTACGCTGAGTATGCTCCATTGAGTCCATCCGGAAAAGGCTGGGGGGCTGCTTGTATATTTTAATGTCAATCTTTGTCATGAAAAAGTTAAGCCACTATATTCGATTGGGCAACACTTACCTAGTTCCCTGTGCAATAGCCTCTTTGTTTTTTGGTTTTTAAGCTGCAGCTTTCCATCATTGGAAATTAAATTATCCATGATTTGTGGATGCCATATATTTTCATCTGATGAAAAGTGATTTTTTTTATTTTTTTATTTGGTGGAAAAACAGATTCAAAATTTGCTCATATTATTTGAGAAAAAAATATAGATATATGTCAATAATTAAATCAAATATTTAAATGCTCAAAAAATGAAATTTAATCTACATTAAAAAAGTAAAATAATTCCATATAGGCATGAGTATAGACTCATTTGAATTGGCTTGGAAGAAAAATCACACAAAATAAAAATATTTTGATTTTTAGATTTTTTAAATCAAAATTATAATATAAATCAAACTGATTTCTTATTTGGATTTGCCTTTTAACAGTATAGATTAAAACGTAAAAATAAAATAATTCATTCCATAAACTATTTGAGATAATAGCATTTAATGCTAATAAGAAGAAAAGGATGATTAAAAACTTTAAAAAAAAAGAAAAAAGAAAGAAAAAAATTATTAGAAAAGCCTAAAAATATTTATTTGAATAAGTGTTTAAATTAGTACATAAAATTTAATTCGCTTTTCCGGCCTAAAACCTAATCAACTCAAATTCAAAAAGCCCAACAAGCAGACAATCCAACCCAGCCCAATCTTGACAATGCTTTAAAACAACTTTTTCGAAACGGCAGCGTTTTAAAATGCCTCCCCGCCAAAATCCATGTACACACACACACACACACACCAAAACACCCGGGTCTAATTGAAACAGTAAAGTCCTCTCTTTTCAGGTTCTACAAATCGATCGATCTGGCGAAAAATTCTCCTTCCAAAGGTAACTCTTTCACTTCTTCTTCTTCTTAAAATTATTTTTTATCCGCATTGTGAAAAAATTTTAACAGAATTAAAAAAAACCCTAGATTCTGATTTCTTTTTTTCAAAAATCTTTTGCTCTGATTCATGTTTTTGAATGTATCAGAATATGATTATGAATCATAGATGTATTAGGATTAACGATGCGTTTATCAATTGTTTGGTCAATATTATATTAAAATCCGTTGAATTGAATCTCCCCTTGATTGAACAGATGGAAGCCGCCAATAACCCAAATTCGGAAGCTGTTAGAAAGCCTCAACTTATCTACCGCTGTAAAAAGTGCAGAAGAATCGTTGCTTCGGAGGAAAGCATAGTTCCTCACGAACTTGGCAAAGGCGAACAATGTTTTAAATGGAAAAAGAGAAGTGGTGATAAACTTGGGGAGGAGAAGGAACCGACCCAATGTTCTTCCATTTTTGTGGAGCCCTTGAAGTGGATGCAACCAGTTCAAGAAGGGTATGTAGAAGAAAAACTTCAATGCATTGGCTGCAAAGCTCGATTGGGTTCCTTCAATTGGGCTGGTATGCAATGCAATTGTGGAGCTTGGGTTAATCCTGCTTTTCAGTTGCATAAAAACCGGTTAGATGAGTGCTATATGTGAACAGACTTTTCTTACTATTGCTTGATAGGTTAATCTTGCAAATTCTATGGTTAGGTATAGTTTATTTTAGGAGATTAACATTGGTACATGATTCAGTAACCCGTTGTTAAAACTGCTAGCCTGTTGCAATTGATGGTTATTTTTAGTAAATGCTGCTTCTGTTTTGACTTGATGTTGTTTATGGCAATTAACTTTCTGATAATCAAAGATTAGAACTCAAGGATTGCATGGCTGTTTTTTGTTGAAATTGAATTTGGAGTAACCACTGAAAAATAAATTCATTTGGTTTTATTTTTCTCTGTTGATTACTGGCATGAGAAGTGCACCGGTCTATATCAAGGGAATTGCATGGTATGTAATACATTAAGTAGCAAAGCGCATAGCTGCTAAAGGGTAGGCTAGGTGGGTTGTGAACTGACAACAATCACTGGAATCTGGTGGCTCCCCAATAGCTAGACAGTGCATTTACTGCCCACCAGCGAGGCTCTTGAAGCGGATTTTTCCCGTGGGTGGGTCATCCACTACAAGCTCATTCACTGGAGGCCACAGCATGAGTTTCCTAGCCTTCACACCCTTAAGCTTTGTGATCCGCTTCTTGTCAACAAAACCGGTAATTTCAATGCTTGCTGATCATCTTGAAGTTATGTTCGACCTCTTTTTTTGCACAATCCACATGTAACCTGTATTCCTTACGAAACCAACTTCAATCGCATTTGCCAGAGGGAGAAGTCCCAATGGGAGTCCAAACTCTTTGAGAAGAGCGATAGCCATTTAGATTCCCTTATCATGGCCTTTCTGGACAATTCCTCCTTCCTTCCGATCTGCCATTATAAATGGAGTTCTCAACTTTTTTTTTCTTCAAGTTTTTGTTGCACTTGCTTGCAGTTGTGACCTTAAACATGAAGTAGTGAGATTATTTATACTCATTGCATTCACACTTATGACAAAATTAAAGGGGAAATCGAGGTTTATTGAATTGTGTTAGCCACCAGGCGGTTTTTCACATTAAACCTGCTGTTAACGTTTTTAAATGTATAAACAGTTTTGGCACATATTTTATCAGGATGAATTTGACATCCCGTTGTAGGGAAAAAAAGGGGGGGGGGTGGGGGAGGGCTGGTATCATAGTATCACTGCAATGCCACTTTGTTGTACACTACAATGACAAGAAATATGGAAGAATCCAACCTATATATAACTAGTGTTATAAATCTATATTTTTAGGGTCGAAAATAGATTCAAGAAATCTATTTGTCTTCCTCGCATTGTCTGCAGTTGTAATTACTAGTTAGTAAATTTGTTTTTGTTTTCTTCCAGTTGTATCTAATGCTTGATCATCTACATCGTTTTTGATGTTATTGTCCGGGTTCTCTTGTTCTTTTACACATTAGCAGAGGTGTTGTATTCTAGCAAACAAAAACTGTATGGCCTGCATCCATATATCAGGTTCCTAGTGCCAAAATTGAGAGAGAGAGAGAGAGAGAGAGAGAGGGGATGGGAAAGGCAACTAATATAATTGATGGGCAGATTTGCAGCTGATAATGCGTTCCAAATTTATTCCACATGATCAAGTTGCAGTCTGAACAAGGCTAGCAAAAGTGGATAAAAATTGGAGCTTGCACCTTCCCAAATGATGGTGATGATTAAGGACTAATAGCAATATATAGAAACTGTGAAAAAAATAAAATATAAAATTATGTGAAAATTAAGAGTAAAATTGAATGTATAATGAAAAATTACTTTTAAGAATTATAAAAGCATATTAAGTTTATATACAATTATCTAGTGGGTAAATTAGAAAATTAAATCTTTCTAAAATTGACCTTATAATTGAGAGATTATCTATATTAATTTTTTAACTTTAATTCTAGGGATACAAATACTTAATTATAGAGATACAAATATAAATATACAGATTACAAGATTACAATTGGTTATAAATAAATATTTTCTCACATTCCCCTTCAAGCTAGTGAATAGGTCTTTTTCATTCTCAATTTGAAAATAATTTCTTGAAATGTTACGTTGCCGAGACCTTTAATCAACATATATGCAAGTTGACTCTTAGTTGATACATACAGTGTACAAATAAATCAACCCATTATCTAATTTCTCCTTTATGAAATGTCAGACTACTTCAATGTATTTTGTTTTGTCATGTTGCATAGGACTGTGTGCAGTGCTTATTGTAGACTTGTTATCATAGTAGAGTCTCATTGGTCTATCTCACTCAATCTTCAAGTCTTTTGAGATAATTTTTAACCATAGTAGTTCACAAATTCCTTGTGCCATTACTCTGAACTTTGCTTTAGCATTTGATTTTGTCACCACATTTTATTTTTTACTTCTCTAAGTCATAAGATTACCACCTAAGAAAGTGCAATAGCTTGAGATGGATATTTTATCAGTTACCAAACCTGCATAATTTGTATCTATATATGCCTTCAGAAGTAGCTCTAATTTCTTTTAAACAAGATATCTATCCCAAGATTAGCCTTTAAATAATTTAATACACGGTAGACAGCCTGTAGGTGCACTTCTTTAGTATTATCCATAAATTGACTTATCACACTCACAGTATATGCTATGTTAGGTCTAGTATGTGAAAAATAAATGAGTTTTTCAACTAATTTTTGGTACATCTCTTTATCTATAATAATATCTTCATTAGTTTCTCCAAGTTTATGATTAGGCTCTATAAGAATATTTTCAGGTTTACATGCGAGCTTCTCAATTTTTTTCAAAGGATCTATCACATATTTCTGTTATGAGATGAAAATACCATGCCGTGAGTGAGCTACTTTAATTCCTAAGAAGAACTTCAATTTTTTAGCTTTTTTATCTCATATTCTCTAGCCAAACACTGCTTTAGAGATTATCTTTCTTTTTCATCATTTTCAATTATAATTATATCATCAACATATACTAATAGAATTGTGGTTCTTCCTAAATTTGAGTGCTTGATAAATAGTGTGTGATCTTCTTGACTTTGCTTATATCTCATTACTAGCATCACTTTAACAAATCTCTTGAACCAAGCCCTAAAAGATTGTTTAAAGCTATATCAAGCCTTTTTTAGCTTGTATACTTTTTTTGCTTCTAGATAACCTCTAAATTCTGGTGAAATCTTCATATATATATATATATATATTTTTTTTTTCCATATCACCATGAAAAAAAATATTTTTTACATCAAATTGTTAAAGCTGCCAATTGTAATTTGTAACCAAGGATAACAAAATCTTAACTATATTCATCTTGGTAACTGGAGCAAAATTTTTTTGATAATCTACTTCATAAGTTTGAGTGTGGCCTTTGGCCACTAACTTGACCTTATACCTTTTAACAGTACCCTTCATTTTGTATTTTACAATAAAAATCCATTATCACTCAACTAGATTTTTTTCTTTAAGCAACTTTATCAGTTCCCATATTTTATTTTTCTTTAAGGCCTCCATTTTTATTTTCATGACTTGCCTCAATTTCTCACTAGATAATCCTTCGGATAATTTAGTTGGAATAGAAATAATATTTAGGTTCACAAGGAAATTTTTGTAGAATTGTGAGAATTTTTCAAATGACACAAAATTAGAGATCAGATATAGTAGATGGTTAGTACATTCTCTGATTCATTTTATAATGGCAATAGACATATCATAATCACTAGTTATAGTTTTAGGAGATTTATACGCATTTTAAGAAATAGAGTGAAAGACTATAGTTATCTCATTTCTAGATTTAGGATCAAGTTCTTGGACTTACATTGGATCAAGAGCTGAAACTTCCCTTTTTGAGTACACCTATATTTTTTTTATAAGATCAAGAATAATATTATCTTTTGTCATATCTTCTATGTTTGGAATGGGTTCAAATTCAAATTTAATGTTTGACTTGAACTCAAAAGAAACAAATATAGATTCCAAAGAATTAATGAGTGAAAATGTTGAGGAGAAAACAATAGGTTTAGACTCAGAAGAATTAATTGATGAAAATATTAAAGAAGAGGTCAAGTTAAGTAAAAAGAAATCTTTATTCTTATTTTTCATGAATGAAATCTCCCTTTAAAGATAAGTTTGAATAAAAAATGGTGTACTTTCTTCAAAAGTAATATCTACAGGCACTTTAAATTTTTTGGTAAAGGATAATAGTATTTATAACCTTTCTGAGTTGATGAATATCCCATAAAAATGTACTTAATTGCTCTAAAACCCAACTTTCTCCTATTATGACTACGACCATGAACAAATGATGTACAACAAAATATTATCAAGAGTTCTGTGGGCCTTGAGGATGACCATGAGGGTGCCCACTAGTGAAACCCCCTTTCACTAGACATTTGGAACAAAGGTCGTAATGTTGGTTAAGATCGGCCTATTAAGCTTAAGAGTTGAATTAACATCGAAAGAAAAAAATGAAGGGGCATTTAGAGTCGACCTTAACCTCGTCGAAGAACAAAAAAACATAACCGTAATACAGATTGTAGCCTACCAACAAAAGGTAGCCAATTATTATAATAAAAGGGTTCGCTGTAAGCACATCAAGAAATGTGACATGGTACTTAAAAAAATTGAAGCTTTAGAGGTAAACTGAAAGCCTGATTCACCTTCAGAATCTAAAATAGAGGCTTAAATCTAAAATTTTGAAAGAAAATACAAGTCTCACCACGGCCAGACGAACTCCAAAACTAATCTCGAATCACCCCAAACAATTATCATCTCGACAATCTTTAAATCGATTATACACTTAATGCAGAACACACGCGTGAGATCGAATAACCGCTAGGTCAGACCGTGGCTCAAAGCTAATCATCGTCCAAAATTGATCTTCCCCTGCAATGTCGGCCTTTGATGAACCAAGATGCCAATCTATTCCTTCAACCAATCTATCCCACACCAGAGACGTCGGTAATAAATTTGGCAATTTGATACTCAGACCGCCTAATAGGAAGACAGAGTGTTAGGGGCATTTGATGGTTCAAAAGATATAATGATCTTTTTCCCTCTTAAAGCCTTTAACAAATAACCAGGGGTATCTTTGTTATTTGTGCCAACCTGACATACATGATCAATGCCACCTCAGCTCGGCTCTGTCTTAATTTTTCCTTTATGGTCTCCCTCAACTTACCTATAAATATAAAGACTTGGGCACCATAAAGGCAAGTTCATCCCACTCACTTCTCTCTCTTTCTCACTCTCTTGCTGATATAAAATTTACTGACTTTTGTGTTGGAGTGCAAATACAGGAAACATCCCCTGCTTTTACCTCTAGTTGTCTCTTTTTTTTACATTCATAAGAATATCTTTAGGTCGGAGTTTGGCACCAATAATAATCAAAGATTTGAGCTATTATGAGCTCCAACCAATCACAAATTAATCATCTACGGTCCAATAATGAAAATCAATGGTATTTGAACATCTCCACCGGTTAAAAGCAAGATGCAAGATCTATGTAAGAATCCCACAAATAATTTCTTGTAAAATTAAGTTGTTTTGAACAATAAGCACATTACAAGCAAGATAGCAAACTTTTGGAAACTATTTCTTGCAAAACTCATCAAATGATAAATAGGAGTACTAGTTTCATTCAATAAGTATGGGGCTGTCCTTAGCCTAGAGGATATT